GACGACGACGGACAATCACTCATATGATAAGCTCCGCTCGACAAAGTCGACAGCGGAGCTAAAAAAGTGTTTTCATGAGGAATATACAAATTCATGCAAATGCTATGTGAATGTGAACATGCTGACTTTAAAAACTCTTGAACAGACTAAACTAATGGACTAAAGTCCCTAAGATCCAAAACATTGTAGTGAGAGTAGTTGTTACGTAGAAGGTAGTGTGGCTATGAACTGGTTCATTGTTTCTTCATTGATATATTATCTAGAATGTCATTTTGTTTTCCCGGGATGTGTATGGAATGTATATTAAAGTAAGACACTGAAAGCCAAAATAATTCCCGAAGAGCAGACATTACTAGCGGGTTATGAGATATACCATGATTGGCCTTTGCGACTGTGCTATCAGTAAATACATGCAGTATATAGGGTCCCATCTCCTACATGTAGCTGCCCAAAGTAATGGAAACGCCCGAGTGTAGGCATCCATGAGGACATGTATGTTTATGATAGGGCGAGGGTCAAAAATTTGGTTAAGCGATTTAAAAGAAGGAGGCAGTTTAACCACCATTGAATGTCTGCAGCAAATTTGTTAGACAAAATAACCTCATGCCAAATTTGTTTAGCTGGTCTAGAATGCGGCGTAGGAAAGTTCTACCTCCTTTTATGATTTTACATGCCCATATGAGTTTTCTCACAAGGGACCCTAGCTGGCAGCAATTGGCACATTTTATTTTAGAAAACTTGAGCAGCAATTCTTGCAATACACTCAGTTTTTTTGCATGTGGTGGTATTTATTTCAATACTGAGAAATGTTAGCTCTTGAGTCAGTCCTATAACCTTACTCCAAGCAATCTGAAAACCTAATTTGCGAAGTTGGCTGATGAGTGTGTTCAGGGCCAATATGCATGTGGCGTAGCTTTCAGCAATAATGAGAAAGCCATCGACCACCATGGCCTCATCACCCATGGTGAGCCACATTTTGGGGGTGAGCGTATGGAAGATACTTGGAGCCAATTTTGCACCAAGTGGGAGACTTGTATCATAAAGGTATGAACAAGAGCCAAACAGTAAACATGAGCAATTAAAATAATAGGGATATTTTAATGCGAGTAGAATTATTAAGGCAAAAAAGTTTTGTACCATACTAATTTCTCATTCTATAGTACTGCATGTACCGATATGTCAATTTTTAATGTCTTTGCATTGTTTTATGGAAATCCTGTCTTGAAATGTGTTGTGTGAACAGGTGAATCCTTGTCATTACCAACACTAATAAATATGATAACTGATGTTAAATTGTTTCCATAGCAACCATGTTTTCTTGATCTACACTGTACTGTGGTGTCCTTTGACCTTAGATTTTGCTTGGCCGATGCGCTGTCATCTGTCCTCCGTCAACAATTGCATTTTCAACTTCTTCTTGAAAACCACCAGCTCATTTGTTTTGATACTGGTTAGATACATAACATTGTATGTTCATTTCCTGGCAATATCTTCAATTCTCTATTTTTGAAAATATATCTCTTGAAAACTACCGATAACTGCCCATCTGTTATGATGATGACCTAATAATGCTTTGTAACTTTTTTGATTTGTTGTTTCAGATATTAATACATCAGGCTCTCAACATCTGTGTACTTTGACACCATTTTGTGAAAAGATCTCCTGCAAGCAAAACAAACACCATGAGATCTTGCAGCTTTTAAACAGCATGTCTCTTTCTACTAAAGAGGATCAGAAAAAACTGAGCAGTTGTATTGCAAAATATGAAAAAGAAGGTTGGAATAGAGAGGACAATATCCCTGATGTAGAACCTGAGTTTTGTTATCCCTTACTTCACTGGGCATGTGCTCTAGGTAATGTATGCTCCGCCATGCTGGCAATGAACCATTGAAACATGCAAGGGTTGGGGAGTCAGTGGTAAGCTGCAATTTGGAAAACAATTTGAGAAACCAAAAATACAAGTTCTGCAGTCTACACTGCAGGTAGTATGGTGAAAACATAATCATCAGTGAACACAATAGGATTTAACATTCAATACAAAAATGTATGTACATTTTTTTGAAACGTATCTGAACTTGTTCAAACCATGGAAATAGAAGTCGCATCCATTCTATTTGAATAATTGAGAACCAAAAATTCATCATTTCTCATATGTGTAGATGCTCTAATAGAAGCCGCATCCCCTCTGTTGCATTGTACCATTTTAATAGAAGCTGTGGCTTCTAATACAGATTTTACAGTACTGATGCTTGTACATGTATGTTGCAAGTAGAATATATGTTTATTAATATTTATAATTATGCCATACTTGTAATGTACATTGTACATTTTGTATGAGTTATTAGTAAATAATGTGACACAATGCCATTGCTTTACTGTGATGTTTGTTGGGTATGGTATACATCGTATCAATTTGATTTAGTTGAAATTGAAATGACAGTTTGATTTGTTACTGAATTTCTAAAGAAAACTGACACAGAATAAACTTTAGCAGAGGCACATCAATTTGGCATTGACATTTTTTTACTGTATAACATCTATGAAGGCAGGTAGAGTAGCCCTTGTAATCCTTGCCTATGATCAGATTTTATACACACTCTAGTGGTAATCACTTCTTATGACTGCCCGCATCAAATTATATTTAATAAATAACTGCCACCAGATTATAAAACCATTCATCTACCTTTCAGGTAAGGTCTCCACTGTAAAGTACTTAATCAAGACTGAAGGCTACAACCCAAACCAATTAACAGACCAGAGAGACTCCGGAATACACCGAGCTGTGAAATGTTTGGGATCAAAGTGCCAGAATACAACAAAGAATATTGTACAATTAGAAGGCCTATTAAACATAATTCCTGAGAACATTGGCATAGTGAATAGTAAAGGAGAAACTCCCTTGCTTTTGTTGGTTAAAATGAGGTCTGAAATGGAAACCAACCCAGCTTTCTTCTCTGGTGCTGTTAGCTTAATTTGCGCTTGTTCTATGAAGCTTTCAGCAGGTAATAAAATTTCTAATAGTCAGTTTTATCATGCATAGAATCATTTCTGATTCCTATTTGATGCCTCCAAATTTCTCAATGGAGTCAGTTTTATATTTGATCATGCATACAATCATCTTTGATTTCAGTTTGATGCCTCCAGAAATTATTTTTACCTCCTATTTTTTACCCATGTGCATAACTAGAAGAATACAAAACTAACTTTGTTAACCATTTTGTTAGTCCCTGTTCGGACGCAGTCTAAAAACAGAAACTTGTGTTTTGACCTCTGTGCACCTGTGTCCGTCCCTGTATCATAGACATGCCTGGACCAATCACAATCAAACTTTATACATACATCATACATGATATTATACATAAGCACATCAATTTGTTTCACGATCTGATTCAAGATGGCCGAATGGCAGCCATTTTTGTGCTAAAAAATCATCAAAATCAAGCTGTTTGTGATGGATTTTGTTCAAACTTGGTATATA